AGTAAAAATTTAATCTTACGTATATGGCTATTGTTGTAGTAAGAGTTTTAATAGTTTTTTTTAAGGGGTTTTCTAACTTTAATCCTTGAAGAATATTAAAATTTAAAATAAATATGGTATTAGATTACATATTAATTATAGTCCCTTGATATGTCCTTAATTCAAAATAATTAATGTTTATTTTATTCAATGTCTCCCATTAAATTTATTAATATTTTTTTTAAAATTTATTAATTTTATTTAACATTCTTCAAACTTGAAAGACTCAATTAATATATCTAAATGTAATGTTTACACCGAAATTATTATATTAAATTAATGTACCTAAATGTGTGTACCAAATTGTATGCATTGAAATATATATACCAAAATGTATGTACCGAAATATATTATACTGAACCAATGTACCTAAATATTTGTATCAAAATATATGTACCGAAATGTATGTACCTAAATATATTTCTCGGGTTACAAAGCGTGTCTCGCATTACGATCCGCTATGTAAAGAAAATCTGGGTGCGCCTTGCAATTTGCAAACAAGGTGAAACACGAGGACTTGTCATGTTCCTTTTTCTCTATTTTCTTGTGGTTTGGGTTTTCTTTGCCCACTCAAGTAGCTCAATTATGACTGTCTGCATGCCTGCTGTTGACTGACTTACAAATTTCCCACAACGACTTTGTCTACCATCTTTGTGGGGGATGGATGTAGAAAAAGGATGCTCTTTGCATAAAATTCCAAGGTTTAGCAAAGACTTCTCCTCCAATCATATGTTTCTTTGGAACTAAAACCAAAAATATCTCAAAAGTTATTATTGTTGCGTGGACCAGAGGATGATCGAGGCTGGTAATTGTTGCCGTTGCGAGAGCCACGATGGAACGAACGGGAAGTGGCAGAGTGTTGCGCAGTTTTGGCAGTGATGGGACTGGAGGAGCCAATATGGTCTTCGCGTTTAAGAGCAATTTCACACTCAATAAGTTTATCATGAAGGTCCTAAAAGGAAATAGGCACGAACAGCAGCTGCAAGTTCTTTGAACTCAGGTCCAACACCGTTTAAGATGTGTATGACGAGGTCATCATCACTGATGGGAGCATCAATAAGAGCGAGTTCATCGGCAATGGCTTTGACGGCTTGGAGATATTCAGAAACGGGCTTGGCGTCACAACGCATGAGAGTAATGCGTTCTTTGAGACCCATGACATGAGATCGAGCTCGATTGGCATAGAGTTGTTTGAGTTTGTCCCATACAGCCTTGGAGGTTCGGGCAGAGGCAATAAGAGAGACAACTTGTTCGGAAACGGATGCAAGGATGGCATGGAGCAGCAGCTGATCTTGGCGTAGCCAAAGATTATACACCGATGTCAATGACAAGGTGTTCGATTTTTCTAGGCAGGGATATGTTCCATCGACATATCTCAGGAGATCATACCCTATGAGCTTGAGTTTGACAGGCAGTTGGACAGCGACATTGATCGTAATCAACGATTTGGAGTTAACTGAAAGCAAAGAGTTGGATGGGTGGGCAACGGAACCGGAGTTGGTTGATTGCTCGTCTGACATTAATTTTTTTACAGGGAATAATACAAGATGACATTAATCGTAATCAACGATTAGGGCTCGTTGATACCATATAATGTTTTGAGTTTGGTTGAATAGCTTTCATTAATTTATTTACAAGGACTAATACAAGATGATATACTAGTCCATGAGTGACTTTACACGGAAAGTAATAAATGAAAACAGGTAATTAGCAGCAGCTATATATACAAATTAACAATTAGAGATTATGTAAAAGTCAACGGTTGATTTGCCTAGCTGGAATGCTTGATATCTAGAGGAGATGGTGTCGTCATGGCTGATGTGGGAGCGATAGATGGAGATGATGAGACTTCCCTTTTACATCCATGGTCAACATATACAAGGCGTGTTGTATTGCAAACCAATAACGTACATCTACGTACTCTTACTAGTTCTTATGATGCATATACACATAACATGCTTTAATTCTTAGATTGTTACCCTACCGAAAACAGAACCCATTGCAGGAAAACTTTTTATGTGTCACGTTTAGTCGAGGCACAGAACATGCTTTAATTATTAAATGGTTATGGATTCCAAAGAAAACACCAGCAATTGTTATGGATTCCAACAATGTTTTAGTTAGTTTAAGACCCCATTGAATGCTAGAGGTGGTTCTTGTTCTATGTCCGATCCCTGGCTGGACTTGGAAAAATCTCAAACTCTTCCTTCGGGATAAACGATGAACTCGTATTTTGTGTTAACAAAATTCGCCTTCTTAGTTCCAGTCGGTAGTCCCAGTGATTAATGTCTTCTCCTTCATTTTTCTTCCCTTGGTGAAGAACACCGTCCACAATTGAAGGAGATAAATTGAGAAAAAGTGAGACACTTATGTGGCCCATTGCCAGGCCGTCCATCATGGTGCTACATTGAAGAACACTATCTACCATTGAATAATCACTTCATTGTAAACGTCCAAATACACTCCAAAGTAAAAAATTGTGTACATTTGACACCTAATAATCTTTTTGAGTACTCATTGTTATTGTTTTGGCAGCAAATTATGTGTTTTTTACTCAAGTTCCAAAAAGTACCAAATACACGCTCGTTTGATCCCATGAATGTCGAAAACAGTCAAAATACACTCCAAAAGAAAAAAATGTGTTCTTTTGACAACTATTAAGCTTTTGATCTTAAGGCCCTAGTAACATATTATGTGTTTATTTGCTTACGTTCCAAAGAGTGTCAAACGCACGCTCGTTTGATCTCATGAATGACATAAACAGTCTAAATACACTCCAAAGTGAAGAACTATGTACTTTTATCACCCAAAAAACTTTTAATCAATTGAGTACTCATTCTTAAGGACATAGTAGCATATTATATGTGTTTATTTGCTTAAGTCCCTCAAGATGTCAAACGCACGCTCATTTGATCCCATGAATGCTACAAACAGCCCAAAAATGAAAAATAGTTTACTTTTGCCACCACTATAAGCTTTTGATATTTCGAGTGCTCATTCTTAAAGATCTTAGTAGCATATTATATATGTTTATTTGCTACTAAGCACCTTAAACAGAAGAACTACTTCATTAGAAATATTGTTGAAGAAAAAGAAATTAATCTCGTCTATTGCAGAAGAGGAGCTGACGTCTTCATCAAACGTCCTTTTGCGTAATGTTTCGTGGTGACTTTTGTGGCTTTGTGGCCACGTTAGTATTTTGCTTTTTTGGCTTGGAAGTCAATATGGCTGCACATAAATAGGAGGTATTGTGTAGGAGAGTTTAAGGTATTGAAAAAGAGACTCTCGAGAAAATCTCTGTCCGTTGAACTCAACGAAAGGCCGAAGAACTACTTTCTGGTCTTCTTGGCTCGAGATTTTTTTTTTTAAAGGAAATTTAGCACTGAAAATCTCACTCCGTTAAAATCAACAAAATATTGTGTGTATAGTCTAGCTTGATACAAAAAATCTAACGTTGAAAAGACCTTCGATAGTTCATTACTTCCAACAAATAAGTAAGTGAACAATTTGTATCCAAAGCTCGATATCATGACAATAATAACTCTGGAATGGCTGGCAACATCCAATTGATAAAATAATTTTGCTAATAACAGAAAAATTTATCAAATGTAGGCTTCTTTCAACCAACTTGTAACAGTTATAAACTTCTAACTTAAATCAAAATAGGGCATAGCGCAGAGTATGAGTCCAATGCATGGCACCCAACTCCTCAAATCCACTTGACTCGCGAACAAAATGAGCATGATCAATGGCCAACTTATAGAAAGCGCGTTGCATTTCAAACCAATATCGTACATCTACGTACTCTCGCTAGTTCTTAGGATGCATAAACACATAACCTGCTTTAATTCTTAGATTGTTCCCTGTCGAAAACATAACCCATTGCAAAAAAAAATTTATTTGTCACTTTGAGTCGAGGCACATAGCATGCTTTAGTTCTTAAATTGCTAGAGTTTATCCCAAAGAAAACTCCAGCAATTGTTATGGATTCCAACAATGTAGTAGTTTGTTTAAGACCCCGATGAATATTAGAGGCGGTTCTTGTTATATGCCCCATCCCTGGCCGGACTTAGAAAAACCACATTTTTGCACTAAAAAATTAATCCTGGTACTATTTATTTTACCATTTATTTTGTCCTTATCATTAAAACTCAAAGTTTTTAAGCCATTTTCATTAGTTTTCCTTTATTTTTTAAGTTTCTCATTGCCCGCAAGAGTCCCATTGTCGTTAGCACTTGTAAATTTTTTAATGAGAATAGTACAGGTTGGATTGATACGTCTGCCTTACCAATTTGGTAGGTGCCTGAATTTTTTCATTTGAATAGAAAAAGGGTTCCAAACCTCGATAAGCTTACGTATGTAGGGCGAAGGTGTTGTAATGAACGCAAATGGTTAGTACAATAGTATAGTAGAACTTGCTTCGTTTGCGAAATCTCACACATCACAACGTTAGATTACAGTACAACCTACTTCTCGCATCTCTCTTGATCAGTCACTTATTCCTCTCATCCACATGTTAAAAAAATATCATTTGATATCTTAGCCCATATTTAGATCAAGACTTTACTTATAAATAAAATAAGGCTCCACTTTGTACACTTGAGGCAGACCGATCCGGCATTTTTAAAAAGGATAGGGAACTTCTCACCGAAGCGGGAATTCGATTTTAAAGATATATTTCATATTTATTAATATATATTTTTTTTGCTTTCTGGCAATTCGATTTGGGATATGGAAATGGATTAATGTTTGATTTGGGTTAAAATGTGAACATTTTTTTTTTTTGTGGGGTGGGGAGAGGGGCTGCAATTTTAAACTGGATTAATCGTTTTAGGGAAATTTTTTAAAGCCAATGAAGAGGAGGACATTTGTTATGTATTTTTATGTTCGTATCGTTTTCGTGATATACATGATATTTAATAGGTTGTACATTAAAATAAACAGGTAATAGAACTTGATTTGTCACCACTGCGCTCAAACACACACACCCTCTCTCTCCTCTTTCTCTCTCTTGCAGTCTCTCCTCCCCCATACTCAATCCTCTGCTTCCTCTCTGATTCATGGTTCCGTGAATTGTAAAAAGGCTTCGAGTACAAATTTGGGGTGGGATCTGGGTTTTCTCTGCATTGCTTAACTTTTCCATTTTTTTTTTTCTGGATTTCAATTAAGAAATGAATAAATTTAGTTGTAATTTAAATTTTTGATTTTTTTTTTCAATTTTGTTAATGCAGAACAGCTTTGATCTTCTCCAGGACTATTTTGCGCTGCTTCCGAAATATCTCCGTCTCGATGTGAGTGGGTTTTTTTCATTCTGTGTGAATTATCCAGTTTTTTTTTTTTTGTCAAAATCCAGTTGTTGAATTTGATAAAGAATCTGACTTTGAAATGAGAGAGACAGAGACCGAGAGGGAGAAGTATGGTTGTCCAAAAAGGTGTAGGATTAAGCGATTGGAGACAGACAAAGAGTGAGGGAGGGATGGGTGTAGGGCTGATTTTCTGGTTCTATCCAAAAACCTAATACAAATTGCACATTAGTGTTTTAGGGTTTACTCCACACAGCAGACGATGAGAGTTCCAGAGACTCCAGCCCTTCGCCGCTGTCTCTCCCTTTTGTCGTCGTCAGCTCATCCGCAACCATGGTATTTTCTCGGACCAATTTTCTCTTATCCTCTGTTTGATTCCTGTAAATTGAGCTGGTTTCGACAATTTCCAGGTCTAAGTTCTACTAGGAAAATTTCGTTGATTACTATTTACTTTTATCTTTCCAATATATTCGGATGTTGTATACTAACATTTACAACTCAACTGAATCTATGAACTACCATTTTAGGTTATTTTTCTTAATATTTCTCTAAAAAAGTTCGTACTGTTTGAATGGACCCTGCAATTTTGATGAAGCTGAAGTATAAATTTTTATTTATAAAAAAAGTAAAAACAAAACTTATTTCTTAGCCATTTTTTCTCGAACTGTAAGCATATTCATGATAGACTAGGCATTGGGCATATATAATAAGTAATAACCATAATAAATGATTTACTTAGGTGAATATTTGTTGATAATCCCTGTATGCAGATTGAAAAATATGAGTATCTTAGTTCTGATTATGCATCTTTTGAGGTAGGCAATAGCAAGAAAAAAGTCAATGACTCTGATAACATGTCACTCATAAATGAGAAGCAGAGTAAGCAAATTACAGAGATACCGAAGAGTACAAAATGCCACTGGTATGGATTGACTTGGAAATGACTGGTGAGGGTAATATTGCTTTAGTATATATGAAAATGTATGACTAAATAACATTGATAATTTCTTCGCTACTCTTGGAACTAGTTCTATGTGGAATTTTGTTGTATGGACTATGGAGTAAATACATGTTACACGACGTGACTTATGCGAGTTTATTAGGGGGTCATGGGGATACCCATGGAAAGACAAGCTCAGGTCCTTTCCATGATCTTTTGTAATCTTCCTTTCACAGTTGGAAAGGGGGAGGTTTTGTTTCTGGGATGATATTTGGATTGGGATTCCTATTTCAGTGTCATTTTCTCCCATCTCTATAGGATCTCTTTGCCAATCTTCACAAAATTACACAGGTTGTTCACTGTTCGGCTTCCCTTCTCGATGTTTCCTCTCGCTTCTTTCTTGCCAAAATTTGTTTTCTGTTTTAATATCAATTGAGAGTGTTGAAGGGATGTGCAAATAGATGGGAAGAAGTAGAATTCATTTTGATTAAAGAAAATGAGAATTAACCTTGCTATTTTATGCTTCTTGGTTGTTTTGATGAAGTTGGGAATAAGTTAAATAGATTGACAGTAACTACCAGTATATGGATTGAAGGAGGAGAAAGGGCATAATAATTCAATTTGGTTTCCATCTGTACATTCTGCATTTCCAATGGCAATTTCAAACCTTTTCTTTTCTGCTTCTAAATTTTTATGCTTTTTGGATTTTTTTATGGCAGTTTTGAGGAAAAGCATAACAAAGAAGGGTACTACTACAACGATGTGAGTGCCCTCTATCCTTAATATGGTCAAATGGGGGTGCAAATTTCATATTTTTCTTAATATGGTCAAATGGTATGCAAGTGAGATTGCGTTAAGCTTTTGGGTTTAACTCTCTCACTCTCTTTGTGTTTGGGTTCCATTTATGGTTTTCTTTCTTTGTTTCTCTATTTCAGTTCTCCTTTGGTTTTAACCCTTTTCTTTTTTTTTTCTTTTTTTTTTTTTTTTTTGTTCATTCATCTTTATACTATTATCGGCATATCATGAGGTTTAAAGAAAACTGAGAAATTGAAAAATTTTGAATACTCAAAGCATGCCCTTCTGTCTAATGCTCTCATAAAAAAGTCTCATGGCCACGAAGGGAGTATATAAGACTGATGAGGGTCAAGTATCCATATAAACTATAAAAGGATTGTGTATCCAAGTATTTGGAATCTTAAGAAAGAACAATAATTTACTATTATGAAAGGTTTTGACCTGATTGGTAGTTTTGGACAAGTAACATAATCTCTTTATCGGAACGATGATTGAGATAATATTGTTTAAATCATTATCTCCTTATCTCTAAATCTTTTAGTGCAATACTAATAATTTCACTGCTAATGAGAACTTTACTTGGGATTTTCTTTTGTGTTGTTGCTTCTGATTTTACTGATTAATGTATTTCTTGAAGGTGGTGATGTAATCATAAGAAAAAGTCGAGTTCTTTAGTTCATTGCAAGTCGACCCATTCCCAGGTATCTCTCTCTCAAGATATTACCAATTAGGTGTATTTATACTCTTATTGGATGTGAATTTTTAAAATAATGATGTAACGGCTTGATAACCTATGCATCGTTTGGAGTTTAAATATACCACTTAAATTGTGGGTAAATGTAAATGTGAAACTTATAAACTATAACCTCATCCATCATTTATTTTAGACATCACTCAAGTTGTGAGGAAATGTAACTAGCCAATTTATGAAGATTATTAGCACTCAACGTACAATTGTATTTCATAATTTTTGTGAATAATCTATTTATCAGCAGAGTGTGCTTTAAAGAAAAAACAGTTCATAGAGTAAGAGAAACAGTCAAGTGCCATTGTGTAAGATTCTAGGACTGCTGAATTGGAATACTCAGAGAAACAATATGCATAGGGATCACTAATAATGTTTTTTTGGTGTATGTATCTCATACGTTGGAAGGCACCCTAACATTGAAAACAGCACTTCTTTTTGTACAAACTTTGCTTTCTGCTCCTCACGGATGATCCTCAAGATGCTGCGGTGGCACAACGGGTTAAACTCGCTTTTTTCCTTTAACCAAATATGTGTATGGATTAGTGGTGGACTATGTTTAGTGAATGTGTATTTGAGCTCTGTAGATGACTGCATGTTGTGTTGACTTCAAATTTTTGTTATCAATCACTCTTTCAAGTGCTTATTTGAATCATTTAATCCCAAATTCAAAAAACTGAAATTGCCTGATAATCTCTGTAAGTTCTTATTTTCTATGATCTCTAAGATTGTACCTTAGATGCTTAACCTCTAAATTGTTTATTTTGTTGAGTTTCTGCGTTTAATTTCTTTTTGTTGCCTACCCTTTTCTTGGTATGTTTTGAGACCCTTCGCATATGCTGATGAAATGGTCCATCTCTGATTATGCCTAATTTCGGTTTTTAAAATGTTCTGGAATTGATATGGGCTTACTGAAAATTTTTTAATCAAAAAAAAAAAAAAAAAAAAAAAACATTATGCATTTAAATGCAGATATTGTTTGTTGGGTCAAAAATAAGAAAATGGAGAGTAGCACAACACTACTTCGCAAAATTGGCTTTGGGTAAGCTTCCACTCTCTTCTATTTATAATCTCTTTGAGAAGTGATTTTGGTTGGTGGTTTTGGAAGAGATAATATCCAATTCATATATGAACTAAGAAAATAATATGCATGTATATTGAAGTGGAATTTTTCATGGTATTATTAACATGCATGTTATAATTTAGTTGTTGATTTTGGCTTGGCATGAAGAATGGCATGAAAAAAACTGAAAAACTAGAGCTACTCTACCGTTTATGCAGCAAGGGAAGGGAAGGAAAGGAAAAACAGTTAATTTGGTGCTCCCTTTTCTCAATCGCTCTCCACGTTTTCTGCATGCTCAATCGTTCGTATCTTTCAAACTTATTGGTTTTTACTTTTCTGTGTATATATTATGTCTTGCATTCTTTCGTTGGTTTTGAAACTGTAGCCGAGTATACCATAGCTCTACAACTTTCCATTAAGTGGTTCCAATAATATAGTTTCATGTATAATATTCTTTCACTCTTTTACTAATTTTTGTTACACTATCAATCACTCACAGGTCATGCTATTCATAATGGTTTAAAGAATTTCAAGAGCTTCATTCACCCAATTTCTGCTCATGTAAAAATTCTTTCAAAAAGCTCAAATATCTTTCAGTGTAAATAACATTAACCTTCTTTAACAATCTCTTATAGCTTCGAAACATATTTTTATCATACGGTTTCTAATCCCGCAGTAACGCGTGGGCTATATTTCTAGTGTAATACTAAAAATGTAAGTAAGATAAAAGAATCCAACAGTAAGGATTTTACTCACTTATGTGGTCGTTTGGTCGTTGTTGGAGTAATTTTTTTAATTAATGTAGAAGCATGAAAATATAGAAGGAAAAAAAAAAAAGAAAATTAAAGAAAAAAGTTTTAAAATTTTGAGTTTTAAGGATAAAAACAAAATAAAGGGTAAAGTGAATAGTTTCAGGTTTCACTTTTTAGTATAAAAACGTGATTTTTCGTTAAAGTGATTAATATCGTGGGTTTTTCGTTAAAACTCCAAAAAAAAAAATTTTACAAATGCTCATTCTTCTCGTTGTATTTCGTTTTTTTATTCTTCATATTTTCTTTTTGAAATTGCAATTCATCGGTAAATTTGCTTTGATTCTCTATCAACCAATAATGTAAACCATTAACAGAATTAAGGCTAAACGCTTTCTTTTTTTTTTTTTTTTTTTTTTTTTTCACAACACGTCAACCCGAAACTAGCCATAAGTCTCTCAAGAATATTTTTTATTTTTTCCTAGAACTCTGGGGACTTTTCTTTTGGGATGAAGTTGGAATTATATTGGGGACGGGACATCATTTTTGTCGTATATCTCTTGACTGACTTATAAATGTTTCCACAAGGACTTTGTCTACCGTCATTATGGGGCTGGATGTAGAAGAATCAAGCTCTTTTCATAAATTTCACAGGTTGAGCAAAATCTCCTCCAAATATACTTTTCACCGGTAAAAAAAAAAAAAAAAAAAAAAAAAAAACATCTTAAGACAAAAATAAAAGAAATAAGGCCTATAGAATATTATTCATCGTGAGATATATAATTGTATATGCAAGTGGTGGATTGTCTTGATGGATATAGTCTTCTTCCTTGACCAATGAGAGTAAACTCTGTTTACTCTGATACATAATTTGTCTTCTAAATGACTTATACTCATTCATTGCACAATGTTTATTTCAATGAACCTTCTAAGAGTTGTATTTCTCAGGTTACTAAGTCTGGATGCGCTTGCAATTTGCAAACACGGTGAAACACAAGAACTTGTCATGTTTCTTTTTCTCTCATTTCTTGTGGTTTGGGTTTCTTTGCCCTCTGAATTGTAGAACAATTAGTACCATCTGCATGCCTGATTACAACCATGTGACTTTTGTCCTATTTCTGTTGACCGATAAATTTTCCATAACGACTTTGTCTACCGTCTTTGTGGGGGATGGATGTAGAAAAAGGAAGCTCTTTTCATAAAATTCCAAGGTTGAGAAAAGACTTCTCCTCCAATTATACCTTTCTTTGGAAAAGAACAAATAAAAATCTTAAGACAAAAACAGAAATAAGATCAGCTTTAGAATATTATGCAAGACTAATGTTGAGCTGTCAATTGTTATGAATTAAATTACTTGAAAAGCATATAACGTGATTTTTAAGTTATGAATCAAATTACTTGAAAGGCATAAAGGGTAAAGTGAATAGTTTCAGGTTTGACTTTTTAGTATAAAAACGTGATTTTTCGTTAAAGTGATCAATATCGTGGGTTTTTCGTTAAAACTCAAAAAAAAAAAAAATTTTACAAATGCTCGTTGATTGTCACCATAATCCCACAAACTATAAATTTAAATTTAATTGTTGATTACGTTTACGCTTCATTCTTCTCGTTGTATTTCGTTTTTTTATTCTTCAGATTTTCTTTTTGAAATTGCAATTCATCGGTAAATTTGCTTTGATTCTCTATCAACCAATAATGTAAACCATTAACAGAATCAAGGCTAAGCGCTTTTTTTTTTCATCGCAACACATCAACCCGAAACTAGCCATAAGTCTCTCGTGACTATTTTTTATTTTTTCCTAGAACTCTTGTGACTTTTCTTTTGGGATGAAGTTGGAATTATATTGGGGATGAGCCATCATTTTTGCCGTATATCTCTTGACTGACTTATAAATCTTTCCACAAGGACTTTGTCTACCTTAAGACAAAAATAAAAGAAATAAGACCTATAGAATATTATTCATCGTGAGATATATAATTATATATGCAAGTGGTGGATTGTCTTGATAGATATAATCTTCTTCCTTGACCAATGAGAGTAAACTCTGATACATAATTTGTCTTCTAAATGACTTATACTCATTCATTGCACAACGTTTATTTCAGAGAACCTTCTAAGAGTTGTATTTCTCAGGTTACTAAGTTTGGATGCACTTGCAATTTGCAAACACGGTGAAACACAAGAACTTGTCATGTTTCTTTTTCTCTCATTTCTTGTGGTCTAGGTTTCTTTGTCCTCTAACTTGTAGAACAATTATTACCATCTTCATGCCTGATTACAACCATGTGACTTTTGTCCTATTTCTGTTGACCAATAAATTTTCCATAATGACTTTGTCTACCGTCTTTGTGGGGGATGGATGTAGAAAAATGAAGCTCTTTCATAAAATTCTAAGGTTGAGAAAAGACTTCTCCTCCAATTATATGTTTCTTTGGGAAAAAAAAAAATCTTAAGACAAAAACAGAAATAAGATCAGCTCTAGAATATTATGCAAGACTAATGTTGAGCTATCAATTGTTATGAATCAAATTACTTGAAAAGCATATAACGTGATTTTTAAGTTATGAATCGAATTACTTGAATGGCATAAACTGATTGGCTCTTAGTTCAATTCAGTTTGCAATTCTCACATGGATATGTTTACATAAACGCATCGAACACTATGAAAATGAAAGAATAGAAGGGAAATAATGTTAAATACTTAGAAAATATCCACCTACAAAGTAATAACTTGAAAGAGATGCAAAATACAAGAGATACACAGACATGTTTGGACCCATTCGGGCAAACTTTCATGCTAGTCGAGCAAGTTCGTACAGGTTGATGAAGTGATTTGAAAAGAAAAGAGTTTTTCTTAAAAGAAATCGATACTGCATGCAATGTAGCAACGCCTTAAACATGAATACAAGTCCAAAGATTACAAAAGGAATTGAAAAGAAAGTAGGCTGCAGAGCTTTAAAATCTTTTTGAGTTGTGAGTTGGGTGTCATTTTCTTCTTTGTTTATGCAGCTTTACGTAGAACATACATTTCTTCTAGTTTAAGCTTTTTACTCTCAAAATAATTCTTTATGCTCCCAGTTGTTGATGTGCTTAATGACAGAAAATAAGAACTTACATTACAACTTGAGCTTTCATCTCCTCAAAACTACAAAAATGCCATCGAAAGGTAGCTTTTCCTCAGTAAAATCCGATTGGGTTAAATGTATAGCTTGAAGGGTGTTTGCTGCCCACAACGCAACGTGTGTAGTACTTTCAAATCCTTGGCCTCGGTTACTGTTCTCTTCTGTTGAAATTAAATAGCCATTGGTACTTGAGTGAAATAAAATCATTGGGCCAAACTTACTTTAGTTCCAAACATCTTGTTTATTTTTTTTTCTCCTCCTAATTAATTAGGGCAGAACATTGTCTACCACTAAAAGAGATGAATGATGAAAAAAGTGGTGAATTTTATTTTATTTTATTTTATTTTCATCTATAAAAAAAGAAAAATTTTCAGATCGACCAATATAAAATTTAATTGATAAACAAATAAATCCTTCGATCTGAGGACTGCTCATTCCTCAAAAAGGACATGTATTTCATAAAACCAACAAACTAGAATTTTTGCAACGACATGATTTTGACCGACAAAAATTTTTCCATAACGACTTTGTAGGTCTGGATGTAGAAAAATGACCTGACGTTTTATAACCAATAAAGTGGATTAATCGTTTAAGGGGAAATTTTAAAACCAATAAAGTGTAGGGCATTTGTGTTGTATTTTTTGTGTTCGTGTCCTTTTTGTGACATACTGAATATCTAAAGTGTCGTGCGTTAAAATGAACAGTAATATCATCTGACCAGTTAATATTAACGAATAATATGACACGACCCGATTCCCGTGAAAAAAAATATTTTTTAAATCAATAAATAATCAAATGAAAATGTAATACTAAAAAATAAGTTAGATCAAAGAATCTAACATTAAAAATATAATCTCACTTATATGGCTATTCTTGTAGTAAGTTTTTTAATAGTTTTTAAAGGGGTTTTCCAACTTTAATCCTTGAAGAATATTAAATTTTAAAATAAATCTGGTATTATATTTACATATTGATTGTAGTCCCTTGATATGACCTTAATTCAAAATAATTAATGTGTATTTTATTCAATTTCTCCCATTAAATTTATTAATAAACACATTTTAATTTATTTTTTGACCAAAGTTCTTTTTTTTTTTAATTTATTAATTTTATTTAACATTCTTCAAATTTGAAAGACTCAATTAATGTATCTAAATGCTAGTACTGAAATGTATGCACCAAAATTATTATATTAAATTAATGTACTTAAATGTGTGTACCGAAATAAATGCATCAAAATGTAACAACCAAAATATATGTACTGAAATGTATTATATTGAACCAGTGTACCTAAATGTTTGTATCGAAATGTATGTACCGAAATATGTGTACCTAAATGTATGCACCGAAATGTATTATAATTAATTTAATGTGCCTAAATGAAGAAGACAAAGTATATCGAAATGTATTGTATAACAAAAATTAGTTTACAACAAAATATATTACGATGAATGAAATGAAATGAAATTATTATGAAATAAAATTAATACCTTTGAGTTGTATGTCTCATGTTACTAAGCGTCTCTCGCATTACGAGCCGCTATGTAAAGAAAATCTGGGTGCGCCTTGCAATTTGCAAACAAGGTGAAACACGAGAACGTGTCATGTTCCTTTTTCTCTCATTTCTTGTGGTATGGGTTTTCTTTGCCCATTCAAGTTGCTCAACTATTACTGTCTGCATGCCTTACAACAACTTTTCTGCTGACCGACTTATAAATTTTCCACAACCACTTTGTCTGCCATCTTTGTGGGGGATGGATGTAGAAAAAAGGAAGCTCTTTTCACAAAATTCCAAGGTTGAGCAAAGACTTCTCCTCCAATCATATGTTTCTTTGGAAAAAATAAAAGAAAAAAGAACCATCTTATGACAAAGAAGGAATTAAGATCAGCTCTAGAATATTATGCAAGATTAATGTTGAGCTATCAATTGTTATGAATCAAATTACTTGAAAAGCACATAATGTGATTTTTAAGTTATGAATCAAATTACTTGAAAGACACAAATTGATTGGCTCTTAGTTGAATTCAGTTTGCAATTCTCACATAGATATGTTTACATAAATGCATCGAAGACTATGAAAATGAAAGAATAGAAGGGAAATAATGTTAGATGCTTAGAAAATATCCAACTACAAAGTAATAACTTGAAAGAGATGCAAAATACAAGAGATACACAGACATGTTTGGACCCATTTGGGCAAACTTTCTTGCTAGTCGAGAAGTTCGTACAGGTTGATGAAGTGATTTGAAAAGAATTTTTCTTAAAAGAAATCGATACTGCATGCAATGTAGCAACGCCTTAAACATGAATACAAGTACAAAGATTACAAAAGGAATTGGAAAGAAAGTAGGTTGCAGAGCTTTAAAATCTTTTTAAGTTGTAAATTGAGTGTCGTTTTCTTCTTTGTTTATGCTGTTTTATATAGAACATACATTTCTCCTAGTTTAAGCTTTTTACTCTCAAAATAATTCTTTATGCTCCCAGTTGTTGATGTGATTAATGACATAAGATAAGAACTTACATTGCAATTTGAGCTTTCATCTCCTCAAAAACTACAAAAATGCCATCGAAACGTAGCTTTTCCTCAGTAAAATCCGATTGGGTTAAATGTATAGCTTGAAGGGTGTTTGTCGCCTACAACGCAATGTGTGTAGTACTTTCAAATCCTGGGCCTCGATTACTGTTCTCTTCTGTTAAAATTAAATAGCCATTGGTACTTGAGTGAAATAAAATCATTGGGCCAAACTTATTTTAGTTCCAAACATCTTGTTTATTTTGTTTTTCTCCTCCTAATTAATTAGGGCAGAACATTGTCTACCACTAAAAGAGATGAATGATGAAAAAAAGTAAGGAATTTTATTTTATTTTATTTTCCAGAAAAAATAGTTATTAATTTTCATCTGAAAAAGAAAAAGGAAAATTTTCAGATCGACCAAGATAAAATTTAATTGATCAACAAATAAATCCTTCGATCTGAGGACTGGTCATTCCTCAAAAATCATAACTCTAAGAAAGTTATATCAAATTTTGCAATCACATGTTTTTGACCGACATATAAATTTTTAAGAAAACTAGATTTTAGTCCTTAAAAATGATTACTTTTAGATAAATAATGTAAGAATGATTAAAAACTAATTTTAGTTCTTTGACTCGTGTCCAAATCATCATTTTTATTACACGTCATATTTAATTTCTTTTATGTAATTTGACTATGTTTTATCCTATATTACCCCGAAGTATTGCTTTTGAATGGTTTCACAATTGAATGAATTTTTTTTTTTTTAAATTCGAAATGAGCATTTAAAGATGCAACATCAAATGAATTAGAGATTAGGCTTCTTCTTCTTTTTTTAGTATATCGAGGGAGAATTCGGTTAAGCCACACAATGGGTAGCTTAATTTTGTATCGAATTCGTCATTCACAATATTCGAACTTAAGACCTCTCACTTCCAAGTGAAGAGAAATACCACCATACCGTAGTACTGAGTGACAGATTAAGCTTCTCCTTAGAAAAAGAGATTAGGCTTCTGCAATTGAAAAAGAGATGAGGCAACCATCCATATATTGGCTGATTTCTTCACATACATTTGCTAATTACGATTTTCCCCTTTTTTCTCATCATTTGCATTAGGTCTCTCTCTATTTTCTTTCCGTTGGTTTTGAATGGCATATGGCTTGTGTTACTAGGTGGATTCCAACGATTTGCAAAGAAGAGAATGGGTTCAACTTCAGTAACTTTTTTTGTGGCATTGTGCTTGTGATATTTCTTATTATATTAGGGTTTTTTTTTTTTTTTTGTTATTTAGTATGGTTGATTTTATTATTGGGTTTTGATCATTTTATTAGTGTATGAATTGTTGAGTTTGGAGTTGGGTTTGATCTATTGCATTTGTATTCGATTAGGTACGATAAGTTATATACATTCGATTAGGTACGTACGATAATTTAGATAAATTTGATTAGGTACTATAACGTAGATACATTCGATTAAATACTATGATTTAGATGCGTTCAACTAGATACTATGATTAGGTTTTTTTCAACTAGGTACTAATATTTAGATACACACACTTTGTTGGTGTGTTATACGTTTGATGCCTTAACTTTTTTCATCTTGTAATTTAGGCATGATGATATGAAAAATCTTTCCCGGCACTATATATAAATCATGGAAGAAATCAATTAATCAAAGTCAAAATTAGTTTCTAATAATGTGGAACATACCAAGAAGGTCGAATAATTAATTATAGGGGCACAATGGGAACAAAAAGAGCCATTAAGGAGTTTAAAAACAACAAAATATGAGTTATAGTAATCATGATGACATGGAGGACCAAGATCAAATAACTAATACTACACCAGGTTTTAATGAAAAATTAATCTAATACAAGGATTAAAATTCATTTACCCCTAAATTTTTCCATAACGACTTTGTAGGTCTGGATGTAGAAAAATGACTTGACTCACTTCTAAATGTCTACAATGACGCATCTAATTATAATTTTCTCAATTAAATATCCAATAGTAGTAGAGTAAAATAAGGGCTTTCGGCCTCGTCAATCTATACTTCAATTCTCTTCCAGAAAATGATTTTTAAAACTAATTTAAGTAGATCAATTATTGCTATATATGGTCCTGACGTTTCTTTGGGGATGAACCATATCCATCACTGCCTGGAATTTGTTTTGGGGATGGACCATCCTTTCTGTCTTAAATCTCTTGACCCGCTTCCGTCTTTGCCGGGAGGGATGTAGAAAAATGATTTGTAGTAAATATAAAGAGTAGGGCCGAGGTTGGACCTTTACTCTTTACTAACGTGTGTATATATAGCACTACTCTAAATTACTCATTCCTCACATCCATCACCTACTCCATATCTATACGATGACAGTCATGAGACTTGTTTACCTACTCACCTTTCTTCTATCCATTGCGTCTTTTACACTTACCTTATGCAATGGAAACCTGGTCCATTTGCCTTGCAAAGAAAATGAGAGACAAACACTTCTTATGTTCAAGAAAGATCTCGGTGATTCTTCAAATATGTTTTCCTCTTGGGATGGTGAAGGCGATTGTTGCAACTGGACCGGTGTTGCCTGCAGTAATTTAACCGGTCATGTCCGTGAGCTCCACCTTGCTGGTTATTTGGATGAAGTGACTGGTGAGGTACATATGCTGGGTGGCAAGGTAAATCCTTCTCTACTCAATTTAAAGCATCTCAGCCACTTGGACTTAAGCTTCAACAATTTTGAAGGACTACAGATTCCCAGCTTTTTGGGTTCTCTTAAACTTTTAAGATATCTTGATCTCTCGGGTGCAGGGTTCAACGGAACCATTCCTCATCAGTTGGGAAATCTCTCAAGTCTACGTTATCTCGACCTTTCTCGCAACTCTGATTTGATGGTCGAGAATCTTGAATGGCTCTCTGGTCTTTCTCTGTTGAAACATCTTGACATGAGTTATGTAGCTCTTACCAATGCATCTCGTTGGTTACAAGTAAACACACTCCCTTCTCTGCTGGTAGAGTTGCATTTTTCTTACTGCGAACTTCATCACATGCCAAGTGGTATTGCGAACTTGACAAATCTTAAAGTTCTTGATCTTTTTGAGAATGATGTCAACTCTACCATACCTACATGGTTGTACAGTTTGGGCAATCTTGAGTCCCTCAATCTTTCTTCCAATGCTTTCCATGGTGAAATTTCGAGTTCCCTTGGAAACTTGACAGCCCTTGTTGATCTTCAATTAAGTGGGAATGAGCTTGAAGGGGAAATCCCAAACTCCTTGGGAAATCTTTGTAGGTTGACTTCTGTTGGTCTAGGTTATAACAATTTTAGGGGAAGGGTATCAGAAATCTTAGAAAGTTTGTCTCGGTGTAGTTTTGATCAAAGAGATTATTTAGATTTTTCGAATAATAATTTTTCAGGTCTCTTTCCGATGTCCTTAGGAAATCTATCATGCTTGCAATACTTGAGCATTGATCATAATTCATTCGAGGGTGTTGTCTCTGAAGCTCATTTTACTAATCTTACAAGATTGAAAGTGTTTACTGCAGATGATAACTCCTTGACTCTTAAAACCAACTATGACTGGGTTCCTCCTTTTCAACTTTCTACCTTGAGTTTAGGTTCTTGGCGTCTGGACCCATCAGAGTTGCCTACATGGCTTCAAAGTCAAAATCAATTGTCTGCTCTTAACTTGTCCAATACAGGAATTTCAGGTACCATTCCGACTTGGTTCTGGAACATCTTTTCATATGATGTAGATAACCATGTGTTTCTCTCGAGTAATCAATTGTCCGGGGAGGTTCCAAACATAGTTTTTGCCAATTCTTTCTCTATGGGTTCAAAGTTTGTAATTGACTTAAGATCGAACCAGTTCAACGGTTCATTGCCACTTGTGTCTTCGGCAGTGATTGCATTAGATCTTTCGAATTCATCATTTTCAGGAACTCTCTCTCACTTCTTTTGTGATAGGAGTGATGTACCTAAAAACCTTCATGTTCTTCATCTTGAAAACAATCTCCTCGATGGAGAAATTCCTGATTGTCTGTCATACTGGCCAAACTTAACAACTGTGAATTTAGAAGACAACAATTTGACAGGGAAAATTCCAAGCTCTATTGGAGACTTACTTTCCCTTCGATCATTGTACTTGCGCAATAATAGCCTATCGGGAGAATTACCCGTGTCCCTACAAAATTGTGAGTGGTTGATTCTTCTTGACCTTGCTGGAAACAAGTTTGCTGGAGGCATTCCAATATGGTTTGGCCCAAGCTTGACAGTTCTTAGTCTTCGTTCAAATAAGTTCCATGGTTTCATTCCAGATGAACTCTGCAGTCTCACACATCTCCAAATCTTGGACCTTGCTTATAACAATCTGTCGGGAACGATACCAAGATGCTTCCAAAATTTTTCATCCATGGCCACTACCCTTTCAAGCAAAGTAGGTACCACTGGCTATGTTGTTTTTTATATGAATGGTAAGGCCTACATAGAGAAAGCGGATTTTGTGACCAAAGGCAGAGAAGTGAAATATGACACAGTGCTTCTTTTGGTAACTAGCTTGGACCTTTCAAGCAACATGATATCTGGAGAAATCCCCGAAGAGCTGACTAGCCTCATTATCTTGCAAACATTGAATTTATCCAATAATCTTTTGGCTGGAAGAATTCCTTCCAAAATCGGTGATATGAAAATGTTAGAGTCACTTGATTTGTCTGTGAACCAACTTTCTGGTGAAATTTCTCCAAGCATATCGAACTTGACATTTCTCAGTTATCTGAATTTGTCTTATAACAAGCTGATAGGGCAGATTCCGATAAGCACTCAGCTTCAGAGCTTTGATCAGTCTAGTTATGTTGGCAACAAACTATGCGGACCTCCGTTGAAAGAGCGTTGCAGTGTAAATGAGGCCATGCCACCGGTAGGTGATGACAAGCACGTACAAGGTTATTTACTTGACGACGGTGGATTCTATTTGAGCTTGGGGCTTGGATTTGCATTCGGGTTTTGGATTGTTCTTGGTTCATTGTTGTCTAATGTGCCATGGAGCAATGCATTTTCTCAGTTCCAAAATCGCATTGTGAAGAAGCTCTATGCTGCAATTGTTGAATGTTATTAACTATTTTTCAGCTGTTAGAGGCGTTTGTGTGGTTTGTTTCTACTTTTCTGCTATACAAATGGAGTCTTTGTGCCAATTTATTTTGTCTTTTCTTTGGTTTTTTTTCTTTTCCTGAATAAAATTGTAAGATTTGCTTTATAAATATGAAATTTCAGATACGGTCATGAGAAACTATATTTATAGAGTTGAAGTTCGATGTGAAGTGCGTAGCATAACTAATCTCAATTTAAAAAATAAAAATAGAAATTCCTTCCCTTAAAGGGATTGTGTGTATATATTCTTAAGTTAGATGAGTTTAACTATGATTACAACTTACATTACACGCTACACTCGCTATCGAAAACATGGCCCGATACTCCAAATTTCCTGATACAATTGTTTATTTATTTTTAAATTTTCAATCATTTATATTATAACACTTAGGGGGTGTATTCAATTGAGAGATTTTAATGGATTTATAAATCCATGGATTTTTATGGAGTTTAATTGATTTGTAGAGATTCCAAATAAAATTTTGATTCAATTCCGTAATGGGGAGAGGTGATTTGTGGATGCTTAAAATAAACTACTAAATCTCTCTAATTCCTTCTAATTTCTCAACTTTCTTAAATTCTTTAAAATCAATTTCTAATTGAATACACATGGAATATTATAAGCTTCTTTAGAATCCTAAATGAATACACCTTGAATTTTAGAGAATCACTTAAAAATGATTCTAAGGAATTTGTAAATGTTTGGGTGAAGAAATTTAAGATTACTAATGAATTTAAAAATAACGGAAATTGAAATGATGAGATTTTATTTTCTAGAATTTGTAAATTTTCTTATTTGGTTAACTTAAAAGAACAATGGAATTGAACATGGAATTTGTTATTTTTAAACTCTCAATCATAGAAATTGATAAATGACACCTATTTACATAGAATTTGAACTTGGGATTTGGAGGTCCCAAATTCCAAGTTTTTTTTCCATGCAGAAATTCTAAATTTCTACGTTTATAAATTTAAATAAGAAAATTTATGCCTATTAATTTATAAATTTTAACATTTACCAAAATTCTATGTTTATTTTCTCTGTTCAAACATAGTGGTACCCTATTGAATACATCCCCTTACTTTACCTGACCGCCACGGCACACAAAAGGTGTCTGTGGCATCTGGTGCCAATAAAATTTTCGCGTTCCTTATTGTATATAAAAACAATTAAAAATCAAATAAAGTGCGTTTGGGAGTTGGGAGAGAGAGAGAGAGAACGTGAAAGAAGTAAGCGGCTGGGGATGATGAGGAGGCGGATTCGGAGTCGGAGTCGGAGTCGGAGCAGGAGAGAAGAAGGGGAAGAGAAAGATCCATGACTCGCTTAAATACACACACGGAACGGGAAGAGAAAGAGAAGCAAAAATGGGGAAGGGTCCCTTCTCTTTCAAGCGCAGCAGCAGCATCCGCCGCCGGCCCCCCCAAGAAGTTCATTGGCCCTCCCCCTTCCCCTTTTCCCTCGCTGCCGCAGCCGTTTCGATCTCCTCCCCCCTCCAATGTCCATATCAACAGTACCAATACCAACAACAATAATAATAATCTGAACGCTGTTGTTGCTGGCGGCGGTGGCGTGAAGGGGAAGAAGAAGGCCGGAGGAGCCAGGCTTTGGATGCGGTTTGACCGCTTTGGCGGATCAGAGCTCGTCGAGTGTGACAAGAATGCTATTATTCGACGCGCCGCCATTCCCGCCCGGGACTTGAGGATTCTCGGCCCTGTCTTCTCCCATTCCTCCAGCATCCTTGGTACTCCTCCTCCTCCTCCCCTTTTTTATCTTATATGTGAATTCTCATTAGGGTTAGGGTTAGGGTTACCTTATTTGCTGGTTTTTTTAATTGTGTAGCCATAGCAGACCATGATGACCAATGGAAATATGTTTTCTCATTTCAATTGCAGCTAGGGAGAAGGCCATGGTGGTTAATTTAGAGTTTATAAAGGCTATAGTTACAGCGGAAGAGGTTTTGTTGCTTGATCCTCTTCGGCAGGAGGTTCTTCCGTTTGGGGATCAGCTAAGGCAACAACTTCCTCAGAAAAGGCAATCCAGGATAGAAGAAGCAAGTCCACTTGATGAACTAGCTAGTGGAATGATTGTTTCAAGCGGAAAGCAATGGTTACCTGTTCCTGAAGCCGTTGAAGGTGTGCAGTGTGATCTCCCATTTGAGTTTCAGGTTCTGGAGATTGCATTAGAAGTTGTCTGTACATACTTGAATTCTAGTGTGGCAGACCTTGAGAGAGAAGCCTACCCTGTTTTAGATGAACTGGCTAGAAATGTTAGCACCAAGAACCTTGAACTTGTGAGGAGTTTGAAAAGCATTCTTACGCGTTTGCTTGCACGTGTACAGAAGGTATGTTTGCTTAACCCTTCTTCTTGAGGGATATCATTTGTCATTATTTTCTTTGTTATATTTTTTCAGATGATTTGCTATGCTGCATGTCTAATTTCAATTATGTCGGGAATTAATAACCTGACGCAACTTGGAGTTAAAATGTTTGTCAATTCATAGTTTTTGTGATATTTCAATTTGTTTTGAAAACTGAAAAAGGTTTTTGGAGCCACTGGTGCCTTAAATAATATAACACTATCACCCATGAATATAAAGCAGTAAATCCCAGATTGACATAAATAAACCCCAATTAAGTGTCTTGACAGAATCTGCTTCAAGAATGTTTCATGAATTAGGAACTGAAACAAACAGATACATCAATATATCAAAGATAGAAATTTGTAATGGTAGTGCGCTCGTAAAATGCCATTCAATTCACTAATAAAAGCATCTTTACATTTATTCAGCATATATTTCTGGTTGCCTAGTTGCATCGGGTTGGTTGTCTGGGCTAGATGCTATGGTTGTTTGACACACTGAATAATTTGATTATAGTTGAGAGCCATTGTCATCAACTCTTGTTTTGTTGAGTTACGTTTATCTGTGTTTCATATTTTAAGTCACATGGTAATACAATTGTTCTTTTTATAGCCTTTCCTGCAGTCATGCCATATGAAGAATAGCAAAGGTTTCTGGCATCTAAGGCCCAAACTTTAAATCAAACCTTAGCCTAAGTTTAATGCACAAGTAAATATAAAAGGGTTTAGGAAATTGAAATTATGATGTTTGAGATGACAGAGTTCCATTTTCTAAATCCTCCTATGTGTAAGTGACACGAAGGTTTGAATAATTTTTGAAAGCCCTCACGTTCTGGTGAATGATAAGATATTTCTGATGAGATTTTTATTACCACACTTCCTTTAGACTTGTTCTGGTTTTAGTATTGACATTGTTAGCCTGTATAACTGAGTGCATATGAAGTGAATCGTATCAGGAGTTAGGTCTTATTATGTTGAAAATTGATCGACAGGGGGCTTCTCTTGAAATTGTTTCTACTTGATGGGGTGGCAAAACCAACATCCATATAACTTACTTTATATGACTGTTGCTAGGGAAGAGGTGTCAAGTTTAGCTGAAAAATGTACATTTCTCATGGCAACTTGATAGAATCCTTTTATACTTAGCTGTCGGTGTGGGATTGAATTTGTATGGTGCGTGGGATTGAATTTGTGTGGTGCATGGGATTGAGGCTTTAGCTGTTTCTAGATTGTGCAGGAGTACAAAGAGAAGTTGATACTCTTTGCTATTTGACAATATGCTAGAAAAAGTTTCTGTAAAATGGGGACTTAGCATACATGTTTTATCTGTATGCCACTATTTAATATTTATATTTTTGTTTCCTTTTGAGTTAGAAGCGTGTGTCTGTCTGATTTCAGGTGAGGGATGAACTCGAACATTTGTTGGATGACAATGAAGATATGGCACATTTATATTTAACAAGGAAATGGATGCAGAATCAACAGCCTGAGGCTTTGTTGGGGCGTTCTGCTTCAAATAGCATATCTGCACCCTATTTACGTCGGCTTAGTTCTAACAGAAGTGGGAGCTTGGTAAACAGTAACAATATGGATTACGATGACGTAGAAGATCTAGAGATGCTGCTTGAGGCATTTTCCGTGTTACTCTTCTTTCTCATATTCGGGTATGCCAGGTGGAAGAAGCTGCTTGATACATGAGTCGAGCCTGTCATCTGTTGTAGATAGTACTCAGATTCGCAAACTTATTTACGAACCCTTAACCAGTGGCTTTGTAAGTAAGCTTGTGTTTACATGTTGTATGAGCACAAGGAGTTTTTTTAGGGATTTCATGACTTCGTATGCTGCCAGATTCATTTCGAATTACACGGCATGTAGGTTAGTATAGTGTTGTATATGTTAAACAGATGAATGAGTTTTCTTGGCTCAAAATTAACGTCATTTCGGTGATGGTTTCCTTACGTTTTGTGAGTTTGGCGTAATTAGGTCGTGCTTGGTGCTCTTTGTTATTGTTTAAGAGCATACTCTCTGCAGTCAATGTTTTGAGTTCAAAACTTTCCTTGCTCAATATCATTTGTATGCGTGTATACATAGGGATCCCAAAAAGAGGCACCTTCTGGGGCCCAATCAACAATGAATTTCGACAATCCAACCGTTTAGGGTTTTGGGATTGCCTGTAAATTCAACAGCCGATCCTGCTTACAACTAATCCGGGATGGACACGTGTTCAAATTTGGATTTTTTTTAATCAAAACTTGGACACGTGTCCATCTTGGATTGGTTGTTAGTAGGACTTCAGCAGCCAAGTTCTTTCCAAATTAGGTTGAATAAATGTGGACATGTTTGATTTATATTGTACCGAATTTGTTATCTTGTTGCTGACTTTATTGATGAGGAATTGGCTGTCTCCCATCATGCACTTTTTAAGTGCCGACTCCTCCTCTCACTCTTCCTATTTGTCAATACCCTATTAATTAAATTAATTAATTAATTAATTAATTAATCAATTTAATTTGATTAATTAATTGATTAACTAATTAATTATGTTGAGATAATAAATGTCGTTGTCAACAACTCACTCCACATTGTTCATTTATACTTTGCGTTTGTAATAAGAAAATAAAACCAAAGGAAATGCTTGCTTGTGTGCAAAAAAGTTGCATAACTCCAAAAAGAAAAGTTAAAATGGCCCTACTAATGCTATTAACATTCTAAATTGGGGTTAGATTATTGTTGGTTCGGGAATTAGGGTTTATAATAATCTAAATTATTGATTGAAGAGAATATTATTATCACTTCAATTCTTTTCACAGAAGAAAAAGAGAGTCAAACTCGTTTTGGGAATATCGAAGTATGTGTTGAAATTGAGTTCTCTAGTATGCTTACTTTTAATCCAAATGTTCATTTATAAATCTAAATGGTTGTTTGGTAACTATTTTTTAATTATAATTTTTTTAAATTAAAAAAAAAGAAAAAGAAAACCAAAACCTAAAAACTAAAAGCTGAAATGGTTATTAAAAGTTTGTAAAAATTCACCCATTTTGTTTAAGACTATAGTAAAATATGTCGTAACCCTTAGATTTCTGATTAAAAAATAACCAAGAGAACAAGATGATCTCAGTCTCTAGGTTTTCTACCCCTAAAAATGGTGAACTGACATTTCAATTTGGTTCCTAAATTATTACTTAAGCAAAAGTTAAGTTTCTAAACTAGTCCTTAAAATCATTAAAACTGAAAATTTCATCCCTACTATAAGATTCAAAGCTAGTCTATCCAATGTTTCATCAATTTAAGCCATGTTACTTATAGATAACACACTTTATGGAGTAATACTGTTATTGTCACTTCCCGACCCGGGACGGATCACTTCCCGGGCCCGCTCCACCACCGTAGCACGATATTGTCCGATTTGGGCTTACCATTCCCTCACGGTTTTGTTTTTGGGAACTCACGAGCAACTTCCCAGTGGGTCACCCATCATGGGATTGCTCTAACCCCCTTCTCGCTTAACTTCGGAGTTCCTACAGAACTCGAAGCCAGTAAGCTCCCAAAAGGCCTCGTGATAGGTAGGGATGAGAATATACATATAAGGATCACTCCCCTGGGCGATGTGGGATGTCACAATCCACCCCCCTTAGGGGCCCGACGTCCTCATCGGCACATTTCCGACCAGGGATAGGCTCTGATACCAAATTGTCACATCCCGACCCGGGACGGATCACTTCCCGGCCCCGCTCCACCACCGTAGCACGATATTGTCCGCTTTGGGCTTACCATTCCCTCACGGTTTTGTTTTTGGGAACTCACGAGCAACTTCCCAGTGGGTCACCCATCATGGGATTGCTCTAACCCCCTTCTCGCTTAACTTCGGAGTTCCTACAGAACCCGAAGCCAGTGAGCTCCCAAAAGGTCTCGTGATAGGTAGGGATGAGAATATACATATAAGGATCACTCCCCTGGGCGATGTGGGATGTCACAATCCACCCCCCTTAGGGGCCCGACGTCCTCATCGGCACATTTCCGACCAGGGATAGGCTCTGATACCAAATTGTCACATCCCGACCCGGGACGGATCACTTCCCGGCCCCGCTCCACCACCGTAGCACGATATTGTCCGCTTTGGGCTTACCATTCCCTCACGGTTTTGTTTTTGGGAACTCACGAGCAACTTCCCAGTGGGTCACCCATCATGGGATTGCTCTAACCCCCTTCTCGCTTAACTTTGGAGTTCCTACAGAACCCGAAGCCAGTGAGCTCCCAAAAGGTCTCGTGATAGATAAGGATGAGAATATACATATAAGGATCACTCCCCTGGGCGATGTGGGATGTCACAGTTATTATCTTGTCAATAAGCAATTAATATTGCATATATATTACGAATCAAATTGCCGACATACCCTTCAAATTTAACTCTATACATTATTTTTTCAAGAAAATAAGTTCTTAAACGCATTAAAACTATTAACGTATACTTTAAAATGTATTACATGTAAGTTACGTGACTCGACGAAAATTTGAATAAAATAGCTTTGAGTCTTATAGTAGAAATGCAATTGGCAAATTTAATGAGTTAAAGGGCTTACTTTTCTAAAGAAAAAAAAATAGTTTAGAAGCTGAATTAATAATTCAAAGACTAAATCAACACATTATTCTAAAAAGAATCACAATAAGTAATAACTGTAACGATTCAAGGACTAAATCCGCACATTTTTAATAATTATAGAAATATAAAAAAAATGTCTCAAAAACAAAAAAACTCGGTTATGAAATGTAAATTTTCTCTGTGGTTTCAACTTTGTTGACCATCTTTAATCCCAGAATAGGATTTTGGGTAGGCAAAAATGAACTGGAAAGGGGGAATAAAAAGGCGCCACTTGCAACTTGCAAGGCTGTGCATCCAAAAGATACAAAGTTGACAATCAAATTTTACAAAAAACATTTAAATAATAAATTAAATTAAAAAGGACAAAACAAAATATAATTTCAATCCAAACCCCAGACATTAACCAGAAGAAATAGTAGAGAGAGATAGATAGAGAGAGAGAGAGAGAGAGAGAGGAGAGAGAGATTGAGAGAGAGAGCTTCTTCTCCGAAGAGAAGAGGGGTATTAAATCATTGATATCTCAGAAACCCTAGGACAGATAAACATCTCTGATTCTTCGATCATTGCGTTTCAAGATCTCGATTGTTCGTTCACTACAGGTAATCAATACACACACACACACACACATATATATATATATATATATATATATATATATGTATGTTTGTGTGTATTTTCTCGAAGCAAAAGGAAGCATTTTTAGCTTCGTGCGCGTGTATCTCCGTTTCTGTGTTTCGTCAAATCAGCAGCTGTTTATGATTAATTTTGCTGATAATCGCACACATTCTCTGCATTTCGTCCAATAAATCACTTGATGATTATCTTTTCGTTGCAAATATGAAATTTCAGATACGGTCACGAGAAACTATATTTATAGAGTTGAAGAAAGTGTCATTTTCTCCCATCTCTATAGGATCTCTTTGCCAATCTTCACAAAATTACACAGGTTGTTCACTGTTCGGCTTCCCTTCTCGATGTTTCCTCTCGCTTCTTTCTTGCAACAATTTGTTTTCTGTTTTAATATCAATTGAGAGTGTTGAAGGGATGTGCAAATAGATGGGAAGAAGTAGAATTCATTTTGATTAAAGAAAGTGAGAATTAACCTTGCTCTTTTATACTTCTTGGTTGTTTTGATGAAGTAGGGAATAAGTTAAATAGATTGACAGTAACTACCAGTATATGGATTAAAGGAGGAGAGAGGAGGAGAGAGGGCATAATAATTCAATTTGGTTTCCATCTGTACATTCTGCATTTCCAATGGCAATTTCAAACCTTTTCTTTTCTGCTTCTAAATTTTTATGCTTTTTGGGTTTTTTTTATGGCAGTATTGAGGAAAATCATAACAAAGAAGTGTACTACTACAACGATGTGAGTGCCCTCTATCCTTAATATGGTCAAATGGGGTTGCAAATTTCATATTTTTCTTAATATGGTCAAATGGTATGCAAATGAGATTGCGTTAAGCTTTTGGGTTTAACTCTCTCACTCTCTTTGTGTTTGGGTTCCATTTATGGTTTTCTTTCTTTGTTTCTCTATTTCAGTTCTCCTTTGGTTTTAACCCTTTCTTTTTTCTTTTTTTTTGTTCATTCATCTTTATACTATTATCGGCATATCATGAGGTTTAAAGAAAACTGAGAAATTGAAAAATTTTAAATACTCAAAGCATGCCCTTCTGTCTAATGCTCTCATAAAAAAGTCTCATGGCCACGAAGGGAGTATATAAGACTGATGAGGGTCAAGTATCCATATAAACTATAAAAGGATTGTGTATCCAAGTATTTGGAATCTTAAGAAAGAACAATAATTTACTATTATGAAAGGTTTTGACAGTTAGTTTTGATCTGTGGTCCTGATTGGTAGTTTTGGACAAGTAACATAATCTCTTTATCCGAACGATTATTGAGATAATATTGTTTAAATCATTATCTCCTTATCTCTAAATCTTTTAGTGCAATACTAATAATTTCACTGCTAATGAGAACTTTACTTGGGATTTTCTTTCGTGTTGTCGCTTCTGATTTTACTGTTTAATGTATTTCTTGAAGGTGGTGATGTAATCATAAGAAAAAGTCGAGTTCTTTAGTTCATTGCAAGTCGACCCATTGCCAGGTATCTCTCTCTCAAGATATTACCAATTAGGTGTATTTATACTCTTATTGGATGTGAATTTTTAAAATAATGATGTAACTGCTTGATAACCTATGCATCGTTTGGAGTTTAAATATACCACTTAAATTGTGGGTAAATGTAAATGTGAAACTTATAAACTATAACCTCATCCATCATTTATTTTAGACATCACTCAAGTTGTGAGGAAATGTAACTAGCCAATTTATGAAAATTATTAGCACTCAATGTACAATTGTATTTCATAATTTTTGTGAATAATCTATTTATCAGCAGAGTGTGCTTTAAAGAAAAAACAGTTCATAGAGTAAGAGAAACAGCCAAGTGCCACTGTGTAAGATTCTAGGACTGCTGAATTGGAATACTCAGAGAAACAATATGCATAGGGATCACTAATAATGTTTTTTTTGGTGTATGTATCTCATATGTTGGAAGGCCCCCTAACATTGAAAACAGCACTTCTTTTTGTACAAACTTTGCTTTCTGCTCCTCACGGATGATCCTCAAGATGCTGTGGTGGCACGACGGGTTAAACTCGCTTTTTTCCTTTAACCAAATATGTGTATGGATTAGTGGTGGACTATGTTTAGTGATTGTGTATTTGAGCTCTGTAGATGACTGCATGTTGTGTTGACTTCAGATTTTTGTTATCAATCACTCTTTCAAGTGCTTATTTGAATCATTTAATCCCCAATTCAAAAAACTGAAATTGCCTGATAATCTCTGTAAGTTCTTATCTTTAAGATTGTACCTTAGATGCTTAAACTCTAAATTGTTTATTTTGTTGAGTTTCTGCGTTTAATTTCTTTTTGTTGCCTACCCTTTTCTTGGTATGTTTTGAGACCCTTCGCATATGCTGATGAAATGGTGATTATGCCTAATTTCGGTTTTTAAAATGTTCTGGAATTGATATGGGCTTACTGAAATTTTTTTTATTAAAAAAGAAAAGAAAAACATTATGCATTTAAATGCAGATATTGTTTGTTGGGTCAAAAATAAGAAAATGGAGAGAGTAGCACAACACTACTACGCAAAATTGGCTTTGGGTAAAGCTTCCACTCTCTTCTATTTATAATCTCTTTGAGAAGTTATTTTGGTTGGTGGTTTTGGAAGAGATAATATCCAATTCATATATGAACTAAGAAAATAATATGCATGTATATTGAAGTGGAATTTTTCATGGTATTATTAACATGCATGTTATAATTTAGTTGTTGATTTTGGCTTGGCATGAAGAATGGCATGAAAAAAACTGAAAAACTAGAGCTACTCTACCGTTTATGCAGCAAGGGAAGGGAAGGAAAGGAAAAACAGTTAATTTGGTGCTCCCTTTTCTCAATCGCTCTCCACGTTTTCTGCATGCTCAATCGTTCGTATCTTTCAAACTTATTAGTTTTTACTTTTCTGTGTATATATTATGTCTTGCATTCTTTCGTTGGTTTTGAAACTATAGCCGAGTATACCATAGCTCTACAACTTTCCATTAAGTGGTTCCAATAATATAGTTTCATGTATAATATTCTTTCACTCTTTTACTAATTTTTGTTACCCTATCAATCACTCACAGGTCATGCTATTCATAATGGTTTAAAGAATTTCAAGAGCTTCATTCACCCAATTTCTGCTCATGTAAAAATTCTTTCAAAAAGCTCAAATATCTTTGAGTGTAAATAACATTAACCTTCTTTAACAATCTCTTATAGCTTCGAAACATATTTTTATCATACGGTTTCTAATCCCGCAGTAACGCGCGGGCTATATTTCTAGTGTAATACTAAAAATGTTAGTAAGATAAAAGAATCCAACAGTAAGGATTTTACTCACTTATGTGGTCGTTGTTGGAGTAATTTTTTTAATTAATGTAGAAGCATGAAAATATAGAAGGAAAAAAAAAAGAAAATTAAAGAACAAAGTTTAAAAATTTTGAGTTTTAACGATAAAAACAAAATAAGATCAGCTCTAGAATATTATGCAAGACTAATGTTGAGCTGTCAATTGTTATGAATTAAATTACTTGAAAGCATATAACGTGATTTTTAAGTTATGAATCGAATTACTTGACAGGCATAAAGGGTAAAGTGAATAGTTTCAGGTTTGACTTTTTAGTATAAAAACGTGATTTTTCGTTAAAGTGATCAATATCGTGGGTTTTTCGTTAAAACTCAAAAAAAAATAAATTTACAAATGCTCATTGATTGTCACCATAATCCCATAAACTATAAATTTAAATTTAATTGTTGATTTCGTTTACGCTTCATTCTTCTCGTTGTATTTCGTTTTTTTATTCTTCAGATTTTCTTTTTGAAATTGCAATTCATCGGTAAATTTGCTTTGATTCTCTATCAACCAATAATGTAAACCATTAACAGAATTGAGGCTAAGCGCTTTTTTTTTTTTTTTTTTTTTTTTCTCTTTCCTCACAACACATCAACCCGAAACTAGCCATAAGTCTCTCATGACTATTTTTTATTTTTTTCCTAGAACTCTTGTGACTTTTCTTTTGGGATGAAGTTGGAATTATATTGGGGATGGGCCATCATTTTTGTCGTATATCTCTTGACTGACTTATAAATGTTTCCACAAGGACTTTGTCTACCTTAAGACAAAAATAAAAGAAATAAGACCTATAGAATATTATTCATCGTGAGATATATAATTATATATGCAAGTGGTGGATTATCTTAATAGATATAATCTTCTTCCTTGACCAATGAGAGTAAACTCTGATACATAATTTGTCTTCTAAATGACTTATACTCATTCATTGCACAACGTTTATTTCAGAGAACCTTCTAAGAGTTGTATTTCTCAGGTTACTAAGTCTGGATGCGCTTGCAATTTGCAAACACGATGAAACACAAGAACTTGTCATGTTTCTTTTTCTTTCATTTCTTGTGGTCTGGGTTTCTTTGCCCTCTGACTTGTAGAACAATTATTACCATCTGCATGCCTGATTACAACCATGTGACTTTTGTCCTATTTCTGTTGACCGATAAATTTTCCATAACGACTTTGTCTACCGTCTTTGTGGGGGATGGATGTAGAAAAAGGAAGCTCTTTTCATAAAATTCCAAGGTTGAGAAAAGACTTCTCCAATTATATGTTTCTTTGGGAAAAAAAAAAAATCTTAAGACAAAAACAAAAATAAGATCAGCTCTAGAATATTATGCAAGACTAATGTTGAGCTGTCAATTGTTATGAATCAAATTACTTGAAAAGCATATAACGTGATTTTTAAGTTATGAATCGAATTACTTGAAAGGCATAAAGGGTAAAGTGAATAGTTTCAGGTTTGACTTTTTAGTATAAAAACGTGATTTTTCATTAAAGTGATCAATATCGTGGTTTTTCGTTAAAACTCAAAAAAAAATTTTACAAATGCTCATTGATTGTCACCATAATCCCATAAACTATAAATTTAAATTTAATTGTTGATTTCGTTTACGCTTCATTCTTCTCGTTGTATTTCGTTTTTTTATTCTTCAGATTTTCTTTTTGAAATTGCAATTCATCGGTAAACTTGCTTTGATTTTCTATCAACCAATAATGTAAACCATTAACAGAATCAAGCCTAAGCGCTTTTTTTTTTTTTTTTTTTCCCTCACAACACATCAACCCGAAACTAGCCATAAGTCTCTCATGACTATTTTTTATTTTTTCCTAGAACTCTTGTGACTTTTCTTTTGGGATGAAGTTGGAATTATATTGGGGATGGGCCATCATTTTTGTCGTATATCTCTTGACTGACTTATAAATCTTTCCACAAGGACTTTGTCTACCTTAAGACAAAAATAAAAGAAATAAGACAATTAGAATATTATTCATCGTGAGATATATAATTATATATGCAAGTGGTGGATTGTCTTAATAGATATAATCTTCTTCCTTGACCAATCAGAGTAAACTCTGATACATAATTTGTCTTCTAAATGACTTATACTCATTCATTGCACAACGTTTATTTCAGAGAACCTTCTAAGAGTTGTATTTCTCAGGTTACTAAGTCTGGATGCGCTTGCAATTTGCAAACACGATGAAACACAAGAACTTGTCATGTTTCTTTTTCTCTCATTTCTTGTCGTCTGGGTTTCTTTGCCCTCTGACTTGTAGAACAATTATTACCATCTGCATGCCTGATTACAACCATGTGACTTTTGTCCTATTTCTGTTGACCGATAAATTTTCCATAACAACTTTGTCTACCGTCTTTGTGGGGGATGGATGTAGAAAAAGGAAGCTGTTTTCATAAAATTCCAAGGTTGAGAAAAGACTTCTCCTCCAATTATATGTTTCTTTGGGAAAAAAAAAAAATCTTAAGACAAAAACAGAAATAAGATCAGCTCTAAAATATTATGCAAGACTAATGCTGAGCTGTCAATTTTAATGAATCAAATTACTTGAAAAGCATATAACGTGATTTTTAAGTTATGAATCGAATTACTTGAAAGGCATAAAGGGTAAAGTGAATAGTTTCAGGTTTGACTTTTTAGTATAAAAACGTGATTTTTCATTAAAGTGATCAATATCGTGGTTTTTCGTTAAAACTCAAAAAAAAAATTTACAAATGCTCGTTGATTGTCACCATAATCCCATAAACTATAAATTTAAATTTAATTGTTGATTACGTTTACGCTTCATTCTTCTCGTTGTATTTCGGTTTTTTATTCTTCAGATTTTCTTTTTGAAATTGCAATTCATCGGTAAACTTGCTTTGATTTTCTATCAACCAATAATGTAAACCATTAACAGAATCAAGGCTAAGCGCTTTTTTTTTTTCATCACAACACATCAAGCCGAAACTAGCCATAAGTCTCTCATGACTATTTTTTTTTTTTTTCCTAGAACTCTTGTGACTTTTCTTTTGGGATGAAGTTGGAATTATATTGGGGATGGGCCATCATTTTTGCCGTATATCTCTTGACTGACTTATAAATGTTTCCACAAGGACTTTGTCTACCTTAAGACAAAAATAAAAGAAATAAGACCTATAGAATATTATTCATCGTGAGATATATAATTATATATGCAAGTGGTGGATTGTCTTAATAGATATAATCTTCTTCCTTGACCAATGAAAGTAAACTCTGATATATAATTTGTCTTCTAAATGACTTATACTCATTCATTGCACAACGTTTATTTCAGAGAACCTTCTAAGAGTTGTATTTCTCAGGTTACTAAGTCTGGATGCGCTTGCAATTTGCAAACACGATGAAACACAAGAACTTATCATGTTTCTTTTTCTCTCATTTCTTGTGGTCTGGGTTTCTTTGCCCTCTGACTTGTAGAACAATTATTACCATCTGCATGCCTGATTACAACCATGTGACTTTTGTCCTATTTCTGTTGACTGATAAATTTTCCATAACGACTTTGTCTACCGTCTTTGTGGGGGATGGATGTAGAAAAATGAAGCTGTTTTCATAAAATTCCAAGGTTGAGAAAAGACTTCTCCTCCAATTATATGTTTCTTTGGGGAAAAAAAAAAATCTTAAGACAAAAACAGAAATAAGATCAGCTCTAAAATATTATGCAAGACTAATGTTGAGCTGTCAATTGTTATGAATTAAATTACTTGAAAGCATATAACGTGATTTTTAAGTTATGAATCGAATTACTTGACAGGCATAAAGGGTAAAGTGAATAGTTTCAGGTTTGACTTTTTAGTATAAAAACGTGATTTTTCATTAAAGTGATCAATATCGTGGTTTTTCGTTAAAACTCAAAATTTTTTTTTACAAATGCTCGTTGATTGTCACCATAATCCCATAAACTATAAATTTAAATTTAATTGTTGATTACGTTTACGCTTCATTCTTCTCGTTGTATTTCGTTTTTTTATTCTTCAGATTTTCTTTTTGAAATTGCAATACTTCGGTAAACTTGCTTTGATTTTCTATCAACCAATAATGTAAACCATTAACAGAATCAAGGCTAAGCGCTTTTTTTTTTTTTCATCACAACACATCAACCCGAAACTAGCCATAAGTCTCTCATGACTATTTTTTATTTTTTTCCTAGAACTCTTGTGACTTTTCTTTTGGGATGAAGTTGGAATTATATTGGGGATGGGCCATCATTTTTGTCGTATATCTCTTGACTGACTTATAAATGTTTCCACAAGGACTTTGTCTACCTTAAGACAAAAATAAAAGAAATAAGACCTATAGAATATTATTCATCGTGAGATATATAATTATATATGCAAGTGGTGGATTATCTTAATAGATATAATCTTCTTCCTTGACCAATGAGAGTAAACTCTGATACATAATTTGTCTTCTAAATGACTTATACTCATTCATTGCACAACGTTTATTTCAGAGAACCTTCTAAGAGTTGTATTTCTCAGGTTACTAAGTCTGGATGCGCTTGCAATTTGCAAACACGATGAAACACAAGAACTTATCATGTGTCTTTTTCTCTCATTTCTTGTGGTCTGGGTTCCTTTGCCCTCTGACTTGTAGAACAATTATTACCATCTGCATGCCTGATTACAACCATGTGACTTTTGTCCTATTTCTGTTGACCGATAAATTTTCCATAACGACTTTGTCTACCGTCTTTGTGGGGGATGGATGTAGAAAAAAGAAGCTCTTTTCTTAAAATTCCAAGGTTGAGAAAAGACTTCTCCTCCAATTATATGTTTCTTTGGGAAAAAAAAAAAAAATCTTAAGACAAAAACAGAAATAAGATCAGCTCTAAAATATTATGCAAGACTAATGTTGAGCTGTCAATTTTAATGAATCAAATTACTTGAAAAGCATATAACGTGATTTTTAAGTTATGAATCGAATTACTTGAAAGGCATAAAGGGTAAAGTGAATAGTTTCAGGTTTGACTTTTTAGTATAAAAACGTGATTTTTCATTAAAGTGATCAATATCGTGGTTTTTCGTTAAAACTCAAAAAAAATTTTTACAAATGCTCGTTGATTGTCACCAAAATCCCATAAACTATAAA